TTGAGGTTAGCAGCCCGATTCATAACCACTACGCTACCAGAGCTCCTTTAGTGAGCATTATGCTAAGTGAAATAAGTCAGCCACAAAAGCATAATATATGGTCCCACTATCTGGTAGCGTAGTGGTTACGAATTGGGCTGCGAACCTTAAGGTCAGCGGTTCAAAACTACCAGCCGCTCCACAGGAGAAAGATGAGGCTTTCTACTCCTGTAAAGATTTACACCCTCGGAAACCCTGTACAGGGTCGCTATGGGTCGGAACCGACTCGACGGCACTTAACAACAACAACATTATAAAAAATCAAAAATAGATACGCACATGGAAAGCAAAGTTCTTTGATGGTTACCAAGGATGGAAGAGAAAGGGAGGAGGAGTCACTTACTAGACAGTAGACAAGTGTTATTTTCGGTGATGGGTAAGACAAGAAGACCACACATGGGTGAAATCAACACAAGACCAATGTAAATCAAAACAGTAAGAACATAAGAAAAAGGGGCATATACAATTGTGCAATAGGAAATACAACAAAAAAGGTATGCGGTAATGTAGGTATGTAGATGTGAGCATGTACAAGGTTTTTTAAAAAAAGATTGTAGAAATTTTCAATATCTTTTCATTCTATTTTTCCATGACCTTTTGGAAACCTCCTTGTACATGAGTAAATGCACATGCAAGTAAGTATAGGAGCATCTACAGGTATACGCAGATACATAATTGTGTGTGCTGCGTATGAGAGGATATCCACATGTACCACAAACCACAGAGGGGATACCATTATGTAAGCTTCCTAGACATATCCAAATAACTTACTGGTTCAAAGGCTTTGCGATCATAGTCTTGGGGACAACTTAGTCAAGTGGCATAATATATTTCACAAAGATAATGTTCTACATCCGAGTTTGGTGAGTAGCAGCTGGTGTCTTAACAGTTTGTAAGATCTAAGATCCCTACTTGTACGGAGCAAAAAAGAATGATGGAAATTAAAGAATTAAGAAGAAACCAATCCAGAAAACTAATAGCTCACTTGAATTACAGAGTTTTCAAACCTAAGACCAGAAGAACTAGATGTCCAGCTACCAGTATCAACCAGTCTGACCAGGGACAGGACAGATAGTCGCAAATAGAATGGAAGGAAAATGTAGAGCAAAACTCAAATCCCTTAAAAAGGCCAGACCTGCTTACTAGATAGAAAGAGACTAGACAAACTCCTAAAATAACCTTTGAATATGAAGTTGATGCTATCTGTGGGTCAGCCTTCAGCCAAATATACTGGCTTACAAAATAAACAGCATCACAGGTGAGTAATGTACTGCCTCAAATAATTAAGTATATGAGACCAAACAGTCAACATTTACCCCAAAACCAAGAAGAGAAGGTAAGAGAAGACAAATCAAAGGAAACTGACCAAAAAGAATGAAAATAAAAATAATTCTGACCCATTGCAAAAATTGTAACCAATGGCACAGAGCAATTTGTACAAAAGTTGTTACAGGGAAGCCAAATTTGCTGTGGAAAACTTTCACAGCAAATATACAACAAAATATGATTAAAAACAACACAAACCTATGGAGTTCTGCTTTGATCCCTGGGGTCACCATGAGCTAGAATATACTCATGGCAATTAGTTTGGGTGTCCTTTTTTAAAGGGGCAGGCACTACTCTTGGATCGCCAAAGACAACCTGAACAAGCCCTTGACCTGGAGTTAATATCCAAGTGGAGGAGACAATAAATCAGCAAATGTATATACTATATTACACTACTTTTTCCCTTAAATATATAATAGAGAAAAACAAAGCTGGGTAGGTGACAAGGAGTTCTAGGGAAGGTGGGGGTTCTCATTTTTAAAAATATGGTGACCAGGATTTGAAGGGGCCAGTCAGGCCCTATGTCACATAGCCATCCAGTGAAAGAGTCAGTGATGAAATATTAAATATCCACCATGTGGTCAATATTATACTAGGTGCTACAAGAACACAGGCGCAGCCAGAGTCTGGAGGTACAGTTACAATGTGATAAAGTGACATCTTCCTTTCCCTTACTTTGCTGCCCCCATTCCCTGCCCAAGTCTAATCATCACTCCTTCACCCAGCTGTCCTCTCCAATTCCCAATAACTCCTATACTCCTCATTTTCAGACTCATCAAACATTTACTCTGAGCCTTAAGAGAGCAAGGAAGGCACTGCTCTCTGCACTCATCTTTTCATCTTCTCAACTCAGTGAAGCAGGTATTACATCATTTTTTGTTTCAGACACAGGGAAACAAACCAACCCTCAGAGTTTAAGAAACGTGCTCAGGGTTACCATACTAAGTGGCAATGTGGATATGACAATTTTCCTTGAGAAGATACTGTCTTCCTTCTCATTATCCATCCCAATCCTTGAGATTCTTTCCTCTGAATCCCCGGGGTTCTCTCCACTCACCTGGGGGTCCTGGGCAGAATTTCGGAGTCCAAGGGCTGGCAGCGTTGCCCCACAGGCAGCTGGTATGAGCTCCGTGTCAGCATAACTGACCCACTGCTGGACGAGAACAGCTGCCCGGCTACCCCCAGGACCCCCTAGGCCTGCTGGCCACAGCAACTGGGCCACAGCTGTGGCCCCCCACACCCAGAGCCCACCGGGCCCTTGCTCCAGGGCAGGGAGGCGGGGTGGGGGAATAGGAGTCCTGCTGGTCGGGGGAGGCTGAAGGCAGATGCGGGGGTGAGCACCCCCCCAACCGGGACCCTCCCCAGCTTCACCATAGCGCGCAGCTATGAGGGCTCGGAGGCTGGGGAAGGCATCGGGATGAGGGGAGACGTAGAGGATGGACATTGTTACTCAGGGACTCCGAACGAGGTGGAAAACCTAGGGAGAGAGACGGGAAGACGAGAGATCCAGAGGAGTCCTCTTTGAGGAGAGGGGTCCCTCATGGAGACGAGGGTGCCCAACGAGGACTCAGTAGCCGACTCGAGTGTCATAGCACCAGGGGCAGAGGGGGGCGGGACTCCCCTTAACACTAGCCTCCCGACTGTGAGGGACTCGGGGGAACTGTTCGGCGTCCGGTGAGACGCACGTTCGGGCCGCGTGTACGTACTGGAGGGAGGTGGTTAGGCTAGGCCAGGCCGGGGGGCCCGGGCCAAGAACTCAGGCAGGTGGGGGCGATGGCGGTCTTCTGGGCGATCCTACTTTCCTGCGACCGCCTCTCGGGCTACCGGTGCCCACGTGTTCCCCCCCGCCCTTTATGACAGAGACAGTTTCCGGGCCCACGGGTCCTAGCGCTGGGGGCCGCATCCCGCCTGCAGGTGCGGGTTCTGCTCCCACCCTGCACTACCCCGGATACCAGTCGCCGCCACGAATCAAGCTCCGGACAAACGGCGCGGGGCGCAGGCACAGCAAAGGAAGCTGCTTTTGGGACCGCGCTGCAGTCAGGCGCCGCCGCGGGCACCCCGCGCGGGTCCTGCGGGCCGGCCGACGCGAGCGGCGTGTGACGAGCGGAGTCGGAGGGCAGCGTGTAGGGGTTTGTCGGGGTCAGCTGCCAGTTGTGGGGCGAAGAGGTTCTCTTTGCCAGGGCTCCGGGAGTCCAGCCTGCTTTTTGAGCCTCGTTTGTCATGTATGATGGCGTCCCACTAATTGGCCTTTAAAGTCCCCCTACCGCTGTAGCGGGAACTTGTTTGCCTAATGGTTTGGTGATTTCGTCCTAAATCTACACAAGTCGTCACTTGCTTGTTTGCCTTCTATATTCACAAAATGTACCGATTTTACTGGATTAAGAAACCCACAACATCTTATGGATTTTACCATCTCGTAGTATTAACTGGCACATAAATGGTAGAGCGCAGAGCTGGACATGGGTCCCCACTGTAGTACACAATTCGGCTGTTAGCTTTGAGAGCCTGATTGCACTTGAGGTCAGTTAAGTAGGGAATGACCAAACCAAGGACCAGTTGGGGTCCGTGCCTCAGGTGGCATGATACTATGTATCATAGCCTTGTGATGGGGCCAGTAAGATGTGAATTCTCTGGATCTTCCACAGGAGCTATGAGCAAGCATCTGCTCTTGGGACCTCCTATGTGTTTGCATCTTTTTCTGCTAAAGATATCTCCTCACCCGTTGAGTCGAATTACTGGGCCTAAGAAGCAGAAATAGTTGATTGATATTTGCTGGTGAAAGGAGGCAGCTGGAATCTGAACCATGAGGCAAGGGAGCTGAGATTCCCATAGGAAGAAGTTTTATATGGTTGTTTTTGTTGTTAGGTGCCATCAAGTTGGAACCTAGTCATAATGACAATTTATTATACTTCATACATTTTTCTTAGAGGTAAATAATCTCAGCCTCCCTGAACTTGTATGACACTACAGAGGCAAAATACTCTAGTTATAGGTACAGTGTAAGCAAAAGGTGGAGGGGAAAATATATGTAGGGGCATGTTCAGGAAACATGATGTGTAACCCAAATATTATTATATGGTTTATCAAAGGAGAGTATTGGCAGGTAACGCTGTGTAATTGGGTTAGATCCTTGACTGTGGGAGCCCAGGGAGACAGAACTTGAACAAATTCAGCTTCACCTCCCTCCTCCCATCTCCACCCTCTCACACACATACCTCCATCCAATCCCTTCCCCAAAACACAGACCACAAAACCAGAACTCAAATTTGCATCATAAATTTTATTCCCGATGCGGGACAGATTTCTTCCACCACCACCGCCAAACAGAATCACATCCTGCCCTGGAGAAAGCTAGGAGTCTCTCATATAATCTCCAGGTAAAGTGTGAAAATGGTAGGTGCTGGGCACTGGGAAGGCTTTGCAGTTCCCCACCCTACTTATCCTCCCCCTCTGCAACAGAGAAGAGCTGCTCCCCGTTATTATTCCTCTCCTTCACTGATCCTAAAAAAAAAAAAGCCTTCACTATTAAAAAACCAACTAACCAAACAAACAACTCATGGGCTAGAGGGTCCCTGGTCTGGGATATGAGGGTAAGTAAGGGTCACCAATGGAAGAGGGAAGTGGAGAAGGACCCATCACTGTTTCTGCTGCAGGGCCTCTTTCCTTGCTGCATCCTGGAGCAACTGCGTGTCGACCTCATCTGCTGGTAACTGCACATAGCGGACCACTGAGCCCCGGATGAAGCAGTTCTTCACTGATAACTATACAAAGATGGACAAATGTGAAAATACCCTTAAAAATGTCCCCTACCCACTCTGGGGTGCCTATTTTTGGAGGTGTTTTTTCTTTTCCACCATCCCTGACTCACCATGTGAGGGTATTTCTCAGGGTCTGTGACACTGATATCAGTTAGTTTGATGTTGAGATACTGGGAAGAAAAAAAAAGGAATACTGTCATAAACCCTAGAGACAAGATAAAATTATCCAGTCTTTAAGCTCTCCACTCTCCTTCCCCAAGACCTGATTCTAGGTTCTTGCTATATCTTACCTGATCCACAGAATGAAGTGTTCCACAGATGCTGTTAGGGATAGAAGGAGGGGAAACCCAAATTAGTTTATATCAAAGTCAACAAAGAGGTGACTTCAGAGCTGGAATGAGGCTAGGGTTGGGGGAAGCAAGAATCATGAGGAAGCCTGAAAAGGTGGACCAAAAGCCCTGGAGTAAGAAAGGCAGAGCTTCAAGAATGAGGTATAAGAATAATTTCAGACCCCACTTCTTTCATTTCTAAATCAACCCACTCACAAAAGCTTTTGACTATGTCAATCACGACAAGCTATCGACAACATTGAGGAAAATGAGTATTTTGGAACACTTAACTGAGCTCATGAGGAACCTGTACATAGACCAAGAACAGTCATTCAAACAGAACAAGGGGACATTGAATGGTTTAAAATCAGGAAGGATGTGTGACAGGGTTGTATTCTTTCAGCATATTTATTCAGTCTATACACTAAGCAAATAATCAGAGAAGTTGGACTACATGAAGAAGAATATGGTAGTAGGGCTGGAGGAAGACTCGTTAACAACCTGAGATATGCAGATGATATAACTTTGCTTGATGAATGCAAAGAGGACTTAAAATACTTACTGATGAAGATCAAAGCCTACAGCCTTCAGTATGGGTTGCACCTCAATATATAGAAAACAAAAATCCTCACCAATGGACCAGTAAATAACTTCAATTTTCTTAGATCCACTATCAGAACTCATGGAAGCAGCAGTCAAGAAATCAAATGATGTATTTCATTAGGCAAATCTGCTGCACAAAACCTCTTCCAGTTTCAAAATCAAAGATGTTTGAAGACTAAAGTGTGCCTGATTCAAGCCATGGTATTTTCAATAGTCTCATATGCATGTGAAAGTTGAACAAAAAATAAAAACTGTAGAAGGCTTGATGCATTTGAGTTATGATGTTGAAGAATATTGAAAGTATCAATGGACTGCTAGAACAAATGAATGTGTGCTAGAAAAAGTACATCCAAAATGTGCCTCATACTTTGGACATATTGATCAGGAGGGACCAGTTCCTGGAGAAGGAAAACATGCTTGCTAAAGTTGGGATGGGTCAGTGAAAATGAGTAAGACCCCAACAAGATGGATTGGCACACTGGCAGTATATGGGTTCAAGCTTAACAATGATTGTGACGCTGGCACAGGATTGGGTAGTATTTCATTCTGTTGTGCATAAGGTTGCTATAAATTGGAACCAACTGGACAGCACCTAACAACAATACTAAAAAAATGTGCATATGTTAACTATAATTACATTTTTTAAAATTTACTTTACGATGTTGTTGTTATTGTTTTAAGTGCTGTGGAGTCATTTCCTACTCATAGCGACCCTGTATAGGGTTTCCAAGGAATGGTTGTTGAGCCTGAAGCACCGAACTTGTGGTTCAAAGTGAATAGGCTCGCTTGTGCTTATCATACAGCGCCATACCAGGACTCACACAAATGTTATGATTCACATGAGATGTGAGCACTCTCCATCCTTAACTGTCTTTCCCTATCAACACTCCCATCCACTCCTCCATATTAAGAACTGGCCACCTTGATCTTGACCATCCTGCACGCCATCATCTGATTCAAGTTCCTTAGATCTGTAGTTCTGAAATAGTGATGTGTCCACTCAAAAGTTTCAGGAAACACAGAATATAGAAATGTGTGTCTATGTACTGTCCTTAAGGTTGCCACTTGTTCTTCTGGAAAAAAAACCTGCCGTTTTTTTTGCCTGCCTTCATTTTTCTTGTTTTGTTTTATTATTTTTCGGTGGTGGTGGTGATAGGGGTGGAAGTGGAGTATTAAGAAATGTTTTCAATTAAATGGCAGTAATGGCATTTGAAAAATATTGTCAAAATTAAAGTTGCCAATTCTATTAATTCTAAATTGGTCCCCCAATTTTTGGAAAATTTAACAAGTCTTTGAAATCCATAGTCCCTGAGACCGCCTCAGTGGTGCTCTCACCACGCTCCCTGTGTACAATAATGGAAGCAAGTTTCAGGAATTGAATCGGGTGGTGTCCTTCCACTCAGTCCCTTAAGGCAACACTTGGAATAAGAGTGGTCATCTCCCAACCAAGGGCTGCCTTAGAGTCTTCCAAGTCCTTGTTTTAGGTCCTGGGTTTTAACACAACAGTTATCCTTGCCATGAGGAAGGCCAAGGAAGGAGAAAAGAAGGAACTCAAATACACTTGGCCTAGGGCTGTTTTTTTCCCCAACACATAAGTCATTTAACACTGTCAGTGTTGTCAGTGGCATTAATGCCATAACTTGAAATCTCTGGCCTAAAAGATAAAGGCCTGTCAAGTTCAGCACTTCTCCTCACCATTCCCTGCCGTGTCAATCTTTCTTCCACAAATCAATGAGTTCACATTCTCCTGGGTGGAAGAAACTGTTGAGGAGAGACTACATTAACTCAAATCTCTTTCTAAAGGACAATCAGGTAATAGGTATCAACATTTCAAATGTACATTTAAGGAATTTTTTTCTAAAGAATTAATCAGATGTACACAGATATATACTTAAAGTTATTCAAGATAGCATTATTTGCAAAAACCAAGGACTGGAAACAGCACATATGTCTAATAGCAAGATCTTGGTTAAATCCTGCTATCAAGTAACAGCTTTGGTGTGGGGCTTCAGGATAAGCACTGGGATACTAATTGCAAGGCTGGTGGTTTAAATCAGGTGCTCCTCAGAAACCCTATATAGGGTCACTATGAATCAGAACTGACTCAAAGGCATTTAATAAGAGTAATATACCAGTCAGCAATTTTAATGAATCAACTTCATTGTGAAAACAAGTTTCACAATAACATAAGATGATCTTATTTTAAATAGTTTCTTTAATTTTTATTTTTAAAAGGCAGCAGACAGAACTATATTTCAGTTCTGGCTGTGTGGCTTAACTATGTAGACTTGTGTGGGTTTCTCAACCTAAGCTTCAGTTTCCTCAGTGTGAAAAAGGTACAATACAAGGATAAGTCAAAATTATCTGCACTCTGCCTGTAGCATTTAATCAACTTTTAAAAAAGACAAATACATTATTTTTCAACATAATTTCCTTGCTTTTCAATAACTTTGTTCATCTGTCAACAAGCTTCCATATTCCCTCACTAAAAAAATGTTTTAGGATGAGCTGCGAGACACAAAAACACTGCTGTTTTCACTTCATTAGAAGTGAATCCTTGTCCTCGAAGGGCTGCTTTCAGGGAAACAAACAGGTAAAAAGTCCAATGGAGCAAGATGAAGACTACAGGGAGGATACTTTAACACCTCAAAACAAAGTTTTTGAAGTGTCAATGGTGTGGGCAGAGGTGTGCATATGTGCATTATCATGCAAGAACACAACACCTTCGGATAGCAGTCCTCTGCCTTTAGTCCAAAGTTGAGGTTTCAGCTCTTCAGTGAGCATCTCAACGAGCATTATTGATAGTTGAAACTTCCTCCTGATAGTGTTCCAATATTAGTCCTTGAGAATCCAGAAAACTGTAAGCATCCATTTTCCAGTTGATGGTTGACTTCTGAACTTTTTCTTGGTTGGCAACTGAGGATGTTTCCATTCCAGACTCTGTCATTTACTCTTAGGCTCGTAGTGATGAATCCATGTCTTATCACCAGTAATGCTTTTTTAAAAACGTAACTTTTACCTTCCTTTGAGTATCAGTTCAAATTTTGTTTAATGTCCAAATGCTTCTGTTTATGCTCTTCCGTGAGTTGTTTGGGTACCCATCTCTCAAAACTTTTCGAAACCCAAGTCTGTCATGGATTATTTTATAGGCAGAGCCAGAAATGATTTGCCACATAATCCACCGTCACTCATCTATTCAACAGAATCATTTCACGTGCACACTCAGTGTTGTCACCAGCCACGGATTTGGACGTATGTTTAATATAACTGGAATGCAGATAATTTTTCACTTACCCTCATATACGTTACATAGGGTTGTTTCATAGGAAGCTATCAAATGTTACGGAGCTTCCTTTTATTCAGCACACATTTATTAACTTCCTACTATATATCAAGAATCCTGGTACAGCGCTGCAGGATAATGTGCTGGACAAACCATAAGGTTGGTTCCAACTCATCAGCTACTCCGCAGAACCCTTATATAGGGTCACTATGGATGGGAACCAACTCAACGGCACTTAACAACAACTACATACCAGGCCTAAGGAGCCCTGGTGGCACAGTGCATTGGGCAGCTAACTGAGTATCAGTGGTTCCAACCCACCAGTTGCTTCATGGAAATCCTTTACAGGGTTGATATGAGTCAGAACTAACTCAAGGGTACTTAACAACAACAACCAGGTCTATGGCATTGGGAACACTGGTGGTGCTATAGGATAAGTGTTGTACTTGCTAATCAGCCAATTCGAGGCAAAAAGATAAAGCTTTCTGCTCCAGTAAAGATTTACTGCCTTGGAAATCCTATGTAAAGTTGCTATGAGTTGGAAACAACTTGACAGCCCCTAACAACATGCTAGACATTATGTACACAGTAGTGGATTAAACATGGTCCTGCTCCTGTAGGGACAACAAACAGGCCATGAGCAGTACATATATTTCTATGAAATTACAACTTGAGATGCCATCTTTAGGAAGAAAGTAGATAACAGAGGGGCTTACTTGACTAGAAGGATCAGAAACTGTCTAAAAACAGTATTTAACTAAGTCCTGAAAGATGATTTGGAGTCAATGATACAAGATAAGGGATTTAAAGATAGAAGACAATACAGACAGAAGAGACTGCATTGGTGTTTTAACAAAAGGGAGATTATGCTACATTTACTATTCTGCAGCCAGCAGCTTTCCTTATCAATACACTTATTCCTGCGGGACAACTGCATAGTATGGATATACTATAATTTAATACACCAATTTCTTATTAATGGATGTTTAGATTGTTCTCTGGTAGCGTAGTGGTTACGAATCGGGCTGCGAACCTTAAGGTCAGCGGTTCGAAACTACCAGCCGCTCCGCGGGAGAAAGATGAGGCTTTCTACTCCCGTAAGGATTTACACCCTCGGAAACCCTGTACAGGGTCGCTATGGGTCGGAACCGACTCTACGGCACTTAACAACAACAACAACAACAAGATTGTTCCCAACTTGGGGTTACTGAAAATAAAGTTGCAAACATCTCTGTGTGTATGTATATCTATCTTTACTTGTGGAACTGATTCTTTAATTTCTACAAGTTGTGTCAACCCACACACTGCCACTGAATTGATTGACTCAAAGCAACCCTGAGGACAGTAAAACTGTTCCAAAGGGTTGCTGAGGATGCATATCTTTACAGGAACAGCTCATCTTTCTCTCATGAAACAGCTGGTGGGTTTGAACTGCCTACCTGTGATTAGTAGTCCAATGCCTAACCCACAGCACTACTGGGATCCTTAAAGAAGTATATCATTTAACCAGAACCCACCAGTTGCCCCTCATAAACCCTTTAAAAAGTGGCCATGGAAAACATTTTATTGATACCTCCACTCTAGTATTTACCTCTCTAGTATTTACCATTTACATGATTTATTGGTTTGTATTGCTTTTGTATACACAATACAATGTCCCAGCTAATCTATAAGTACGCTTAAGGCACAGGTTGGGTCATTTATTTCTCCTGTATCTCTCCCACCTCACCCAACCACCAAATTCTTGTCAAGCTAAAAAGATTCTAGGGCCTGGGTACACCCACCCACTATACTCATTGAAATCGGTACTTACCTCAGGTCATTTTTTAGTTCCACAACCACATCCTTTCCCACAAGGGACTTGAAAAAGGAGTAGAAGAGCTATAGAGACAAGGGGAAAAACCATCATGTGGGGAGAGATATGGTAGGACAGTGCCCCCTGCCAGTATTTTCAGACTGGTATTGAAATCATCACCACATCCTTGGCAGTTCTCAAAACGTCACTCATAAAAGTATTCTGTTGACAGGCTGAAAGGCAGGAGTCCAAATAAATCTGCACATTCAACTGAGCCACTTACCTGAAGCACCAGAAGGCTCCCAGCTCCGCTCTCCCAATCTACCTTTTCTGGGGTCCTGGCCCACTCCCAGTTAATTGTTGGAAGGCATCACACCCACCATCCTGAAGCCTGTTCTCTGGCTGGGAAATACTTTAACATTCATCTTTTTCTTCTCCTGCTGCTCTTTTTTCCCCTCTTAAGGAAAAAAAAAAAAAAGCCCATCCATTCCCTGATGCCTCCAAGAATTGAAGGCACAGGAACTACGGATGTTAGGAAAAGCCCCAGTTCCAATTCCAGTCCAGAGGAGCAATGCCTGGGCCCCTACCCTGCCCCGAACCATCAAAATCGCCCGGGCTCCCCGCGGGCGCCCCCTTGTGACGTCACGGTACCTACCATGATGCTAGCGCCGCGGACCGCGGGCCACACAGGAGAGGAGAAGGACTAGTGCCGCGTGCTGGAGGCTGGGCGGGAAGTGAAGCGCGAACCCGCGCGTGGGACGGGCCGGGATCGCGCAAGCGCAGCCGGAGGCGCCGCGGAAAATTCCGAGTGAACGAAGAAGAAAGCACGGCTGGCCGTTGGCTAGGAGCTGTCTAGCCGACCGAAAGGAGAGAGCCGAAGGGAACTACAAAGCGGAAAAAGGGCGGAGCGTCTTGCCTTCCGACTTCTTCCGGGAGACGCTGGCTCCCACCGCGCAGGTGCGGGTCGAGGAACGTTAGAGAAGCTCCTAACCTTTCCGCAGCGGTTTCTGTGCGGTTAACAAACTGATTTACTCATACGTACTCAGACTTCCTTTGAGGCGCTGTAGGGTTAAGCACTGGACTGAGTTGGAAGTGACTCCACGGCACTTAACAAAAAAATACTCAAGACTTCCTACTGAATATTTTTGGGGAGTGTGTGAAATTATGATTTGTGCACTTGTGTATGTGTTTTACACTTAGATAAAAAGTTTTCTTTGTATTTTTTAAGCGTTGAATCCTTGAGACCAGAAGGAGCCTGGGCAATATTTTGATTTTATCTAATAGATTTCCCTCAAGAACTCAATCTCTATCTTCAAATTTCTTACATATTTTTGTTTAGGACTGTCGTGTAAAAAAACTGAGGAGATGACTAGTCACAGAGACTATGGCCTGAGGACAGAACTGTCCATTTCAATATTTCAGTTTCAAATATTGCCACCTCAAACATGAAACAAATGCAGTTAAATATGCTTCTATATTCATGCCAAAGAGTTCTGGTAGTGTATAGTGGTTATGAGTTGGGCTGCTAGCCTCAAGGTCAGCAGTTTGAAACTACCAGCCTCTCCAAGGGAGAAAGATGAGGCTTTCTGCTCCCGTAATAATTTACAGCCTCAGAAACCCTTTACAAAGGTCACTATGAGTCGGAACCGACTCCAAGGTACATAACCACCACTACCATATTCATGCATCTATAGCATAGGCAGTATTACGACACGGATTTCTTTGGAATAAGGCTACTAAATCATGCATTTTTCATCTTACTTTAACCCAGCATGAAAATACCTATTTTCTGGAGTTTGCTGTAGAAATCATTTCTTTATGGATAATAGACTCTCGATCCCACCTGTAAATGACCTCAGGATATCAAGCAGAAATTTCCAACTAACTCCTGGACTTGTGGTATGGCACTGTAGGATCAGCACTGGACTGCTAACCACAATGGCAGTAGTTCAAACCCACCAGCTGCTCCCTGGAAAGTCTACACAGGATTGCTATGGCTCTTAACAACTAACCCCTAAGCACTTAACCAGTCTCTCACTGAATATAAGCAGTAACCACAGATGGCAACTACAGATTGCCAGATACATACAGATAGGGTTAAAGGTGCCTAATGGTCAAGCATTTTTACCTGGTTGAAACTATAAGCTCATGAATATTCAAACACTTGCCCATTTTTTGCTCTAGGAACAAATTTAATGAGTGATAACCATCCACACAGGAAGAAGAAAGTTGGGGCTAGGCAGAAATAAATAACAGACATTCAAATTCATCAAAAGGTTCAAAGAGGTGCCTAGTTTTCCTAAGAATCCCATTCCAGAATCAGAAAAAAGGACCTTCATATGTAAAGATGGTGTAAACAACTCCTCTATCAGAACCCCAAAGGCATGGTCAACTTGGTTCAGGTCCAATCAATTCAAGAATCTTAACAATGTTTGAAGATGAGGGGAACAAAATTCACCTTATAGGCACCCTAGAACCCTCTAGTTCCAGATGAAATTAATCTACTTCTTCAATGGTGGGGCCTGCGGCAGGTCTTCCAGATGAATACCCTGTACCACAAGCAGGTCCAGTACATCCTCCTTGGTAGAGTTTTGTAATGACTGGGTTACACACCCGCTCCAATTCTTTTCTTTTGTGATCAAACTCATCTTTGTCAGCCAATTGATTGGCCTCCAGCCATGAAAGAACCTCATTGCACTTACCCAGTATTTTCTTTTTATCAGACTCACTTATCTTGCCCTTCAAGCCTTCATCACTCACAGCACTCTTCATGTTAAAAGCATAGGATTCTAAGGCATTTTTTGCAGCAATTTTCTCCCTCTGAACTTCATCCTCAGCTTTATATTTCTCTGCATCCAAAACCATGCGCTCGATCTCTTCCTTGCTCAGGCGGCCCTTGTCATTGGTGATGGTGATCTTATTGGCTTTCCCTGTGCTCTTGTCCATGGCTGTGACATTAAGAATACCATTGGCATCAATGTCAAAGGTCACTTCAATCTGAGGAACTCCCCTAGGTGCAGGAGGAATTCCAGTCAGATCAAAGCGTCCCAGCAGGTTGTTGTCCTGGGTCATGGCCCTCTCACCCTCATACACCTGAATCAGCACCCCGGGCTGGTTGTCAGAATAGGTGGTGAAGATCTGTGTCTGCTTGGTGGGGATGGTGGAGTTGCGCTTGATCAGGACTGTCATTACACCCCCCGCTGTCTCCAAACCTAGGGACAGGGGAGACACATCCAACAAAAGTAGGTCCTGTACCTTTTCAGACTTATCACCCATCAAAATTGCTGCCTGTACTGCAGCTCCATAGGCCACCGCCTCGTCAGGATTGATGCTCTTGTTGAGGTCACGCCCATTAAAGTAGTCCTGCAGCAGCCTCTGCACCTTGGGGATACGGGTGGAGCCCCCCACCAAAACAATGTCATGGATTTTTGCCTTATCCATCTTAGCATCACGAAGGGCCTTCTCCACAGGCTCCAACGTGCCCCTAAACAGGTCTGCACACAACTCTTCAAACCGAGCTCTGGTAATCGATGTGTAGAAATCTATGCCCTCAAATAGAGAATCGATCTCAAGGTTGGCCTGGGTGCTGGACGACAGGGTCCTCTTGGCCCTCTCGCAGGCGGTGCGCAGCCGCCTCACAGCTCGCTTGTTCTGGCTGATGTCCTTCTTGTGTTTCCTTTTGAATTCCTCCACGAAGTGGCTCACCAGTCTGTTGTCAAAGTCCTCCCCACCCAGGTGGGTGTCCCCAGCCGTGGCCTTTACCTCAAAAATCCCATCATCTATAGTCAGGATGGACACATCAAATGTGCCTCCACCTAGATCAAAAATCAGTACATGTCGCTCTCCCTGACCTCCTTTATCTAAACCATAGGCAATGGCAGCAGCTGTAGGCTCATTGATGATTCTTAGTACATTGAGCCCTGCAATCACACCTGCATCCTTGGTGGCCTGGCGTTGAGAGTCATTAAAATAGGCTGGCACAGTGATCACAGCATTGGTAACAGAGTGACCCAAAAAAGCTTCTGCAGTCTCCTTCATTTTTGTGAGCACCATAGAAGAGATTTCCTCAGGATAGAAAGCTTTTTTTTCTCCTTTGTAGGACACCAACACCTTGGGCTTACCCCTATCATTGATCACTTGAAAAGGCCAAAGTTTCATATCTGATTGCACCACAGGATCATTAAATTTCCTTCCTATCAACCGTTTGGCATCAAAGACAGTGTTCTGGGGATTCATGGCCACCTGGTTCTTGGCTGCATCTCCGATGAGTCTCTCTGTGTCAGTGAAGGCCACGTAGCTGGGGGTAGTTCTGTTACCCTGGTCATTGGCAATGATTTCTACCTTACCGTGCTGGAATACCCCCACGCATGAGTAGGTGGTACCCAGGTCTATGCCAATGGCTGTTCCCTTAGTAGCAGCCATAGTCTTCCGAGGCCTGTGGGAAATGAATGAGAGAGGGTTTTAGCAGAGAACTTTTGGTCAGGTTACACAAGAGTCCCAGCCAACACAGAGGAGGTGGAGGGAACGTATGTGTACTATTTAAAAATTTCTCATAGGGTCTGTCCTGTTCTTACTGCTGTGATATATCTTCTGTGTGATTGTAACTGTCTCTTGCTGAACTCTTATTATCTTATATTCTGATCTCAAAAGACATGAACCTGAACACTTGTATTTTGCTGCCTTCTTGGACTCCTTTACCTTCTATTGGGAATTCATAGAGAGTAGGTACTGGACAATGAATAGCAAGGTCAGATAGTTTGAACCTATCAGTTGCTCTGTGAAAGAAATGTGAGGCTTTCTGTTGGCAAAGATTTACAGCCTCAAAAACCCTAAACAGGATTTGCTACAAGTGGGAACTGACTGGAGGGCACTAACAACAACAAATTCAGACCAGTTTTAAGTTGGTTTCTAGAATTCCAATACAGCCCTTTATAAAGTTTTCTCTTCAGGGTAGGTGGGGTGTTCCGAACAGTCTCTTGCATTTCTCTTCTCCTGAATAAAAAGCCTGTTCTCTGGAGCCAGTGACAGCCAAAAAGGTGTTTCTGGTTCTTTTTGCCACATGCTTCTTTTCCACAGCTCTGACCAATCCTGGCTACTTTGTAGCTCAATACTTCAGATCTAAGAATAGAAAACTTTCCAGAACATTCTCAATCCGTCAAGAACCCAGTGCCCTTCCTAACTTCCACCCCATTCCAATCAGAGTTCTCCTGGCTCACCTGTTCCCCTGCCGCTTTCGCTCCAGTTTGGAAATGGTCTGGATTGTGGAGCCCCTCCAGGCAGGGTCTCCCTCAACATCCAAACTGCACGACAGGCGTCCCCCCTCCCCCCTCCCCTCCCTGTACTACAACTGTGAACTGGTCCGGGTCCTGTCATACTGTTTCCAAATAGGCCAGTGATGTCAGAGTCAGTAAATCATTGTAACGCTGCTTAACAGAGGAGACGTCAACACACGTCAGCTCCCTCTGTCCGGTACCCAGGGAGACGGCCCAGCCTAGCAAGTCCCAGAAAAGTCTGGAGAGTTCTGGGGACGTTCAGCCCAAGGACGCTGATTGGTTCCAAGAAGCCTGGGGGCAGGACGTGAGGTGAAACTCCTAGAATAGTCCAGACCTGGCAGCCTCCCTAATCACGATGATTGGCTCAGGAGGGAAAAGGCGGAGCTCCATTGTAACATACAAATACAGAAGCCTGAACAGCAGACAAACAGCCTCTCTAGGAGAGAGTGAAAGAAGCTGTTCGGTTTTCCCCGAGCACAACTCCCGCAGAACCACAACCTCCAAGAGTGATCCTGGTGGTTCCAGCGCATCCAGGCTCCAGCTTTCCGAAGAGACAAACTCTAGCTTTCCGAAGAGACAGCGCTTCTCGTCGTGGCTTTCGCCAGCCGTTTCCAGGCTTGAACTTCAGCGCAGAGTAAGAGCAGCAGTTCTTCTCGTCGCGGCTTTCGCCAGACGTTTCCAGACTTGAACTTCAGCGCAGAGTAAGAGCAGCAGTCCGACATGGCTAAAAGCACTGCCATCGGCATCGACCTGGGCACCACCTACTCTTGCGTGGGGGTGTTCCAGCACGGCAAGGTGGAGATCATCGCCAACGACCAGGGCAACCGCACAACCCCCAGCTACGTGGCCTTCACCGACACCGAGCGACTCATCGGGGACGCGGCCAAGAACCAGGTGGCGCTGAACCCGCAGAACACGGTGTTCGACGCAAAGCGGCTGATCGGCCGCAAGTTCGGCGACGCGGTGGTGCAGTCGGACATGAAGCATTGGCCCTTCCAGGTGATCAGCGAAGGCGACAAGCCCAAGGTGCAGGTGAGCTACAAGGGGGAGACCAAGGCTTTCTACCCCGAGGAGATCTCATCCATGGTGCTGACCAAGATGAAGGAGATAGCCGAGGCATACCTGGGCTGTCCGGTGACGAACGCGGTGATCACCGTGCCGGCCTACTTCAACGACTCGCAGCGCCAGGCCACCAAGGATGCGGGGGTGATCGCGGGGCTGAACGTGCTGAGGATCATCAATGAGCCCACGGCGGCCGCCATCGCCTACGGCCTGGACCGGAGTGGCAAGGGCGAGCGCAACGTGCTCATCTTCGACTTGGGCGGGGGCACGTTCGACGTGTCCATCCTGACGATCGACGACGGCATCTTCGAGGTGAAGGCCACAGCCGGGGACACCCACCTGGGTGGGG